ATGGAGGAATTGAGCAAAAAGGAAAAAAGACTCATGGACATGGACAACAGTGTGGTGATTGCGGGGATGGGTATAAGGGGACTAAATGGTAATGGGAAAAAATACAATAAAAAAACTTTTTAAAAAAGACCTTGCCAGAAAAATAAAATAAAATAAAATGTTTTGGGCCTTAATAAAAAATTAAAATAAGTTAGTATCTAACTCAAGAAATTAGAAAAAGAATAACAAAATCAACCTAATAGAAGCAGAAGACATAAATGGATTCAATCAGAAATTAAGTTAGGAAACAAACTAAAAATAAAAAGTTTAGCACTGATAAATAAAATGGATGTTCCTAGCCCTGGCTGGTGTGGCTCAGTGGATTGAGCACCAGCCTGTGAACCAAAGGGTCACTGGTTCGATTCCCAGTCAAGATACAGGCCTGGGTTTCGGGTCAGACCCTGGTGGGCGGCATGCAAGAGGCAACCACACAGAAAGAGGAAGAGATGATGTTTCTCTTCCCCTTTCTCCCTTCCTTCCCCTCTCTCTAAAACTAAAGAAATTTTTTAAAAGGATGCTTCTTTAATATAATAAAATATATTTGTTAACCCAATAGTGAACATCAAGATTAATGGGGAAATAAAGATATACTTCCATTAAAGGAAGGGATATTAAGCTCTTTAATTTAAGATATTAACTGGTATATGTGTCACTGTGGAGCCATGCCTTTCTGTTGCCTGCTGGACTGTGTGTTTCCTCCTCACTCTGCAGCCTACAATAAGTATGCCCCATCTCAAACATTCTACCTATGACCCCCCTTTCAGCTCCCAGCCCTTCCCCCAGTATATCAAAGGCCACAGGTAATACTTTGTTCATACCCCTTTAAAAGCTTTATATACATTGCTGTAGCCCACGATAATTAGCACTCTAATTAACAAATGGGAAGTACCACTAGAACCAGGCAGACAGTTATAGCAGGAAAGCTATAGCTTTCTTGTAGTTTTCTTCTGTTATTTCTCTCCTTATAGAATAAGAAAAGATATCCACTATTAATTAACTACTTCTAAATATTTCACAACTTAATTAGACAAGAGAAAGCAGAGATAGAAAAAAATCAAAGGAAGTTAAAAGTGTCATTATCTGAAGACAATGTGATCTCTACCTGGAAAAATGAAGAAAATCAGCTGAAAAAATAAGTATTATAAACAGTACGTGAATTCAGTAGGAGACTGGTACAGTGCTGAGTCTGTAATAGAGCACCGAGCTTCTGGGGAGCCTGTCAGGAATCTAGTGGCAGGTTCAACTCTATCGGGTTCCTTCTCTCATAGAGGGTGTGGGGATTTGTATGCTCTGTTTATTCTGTATTTGGATTTTCTTTCCCAGCAGGTCATACCTCTGACTGTTTCACCATCCCTGGAAGTACTGACTTTGTGGAACGCAGGGTGGTCCAGACAAAATTGTTTCCAACCAAGAAACTCACTTTCCAGTGAAAGAAATAAGACAGTTGGCAATCCCTGGGCCATTATCATGTTTCCCATCCACCAGAAGCAGCTGGCCTTATAGAACAATGAAATGTTGTTCTGAAAACAGATAGCAGAATCCAGGTGGATGCACCCATGAGGCTAGGATGCTTTCTTGCAGAAAGTGATACGTGATCTCAAACGGTGACTGAAATGTGGTGTCAATTCTCTCAGCCAATACAGAGGTCCAGAAGACAAGAGTTGGGTGGGGGGTGGAGGGTGGCAGCTCTCACTAATACTTTTCTCTCTAAAAATGCTTTCCATACCCCAAGGGTGAAGTGTTTTCAGCTGGGGTCCCAATAAAGGTTCCACTTGTCCATTTGGGATTCTTCCTGCCACTAGGGCAATAGCAGAAAAGGGTGTTCTTGTACTAGTGTGCCCCCTGATTATGAAGGGTTGTTACTTCCTGATAGGGACTGGGAGGGGCAGATGTGGGTGCCTCCTTACACCACCACACCCAGCGGTACAAATTAACAGAAAGCTATCACAATCCATATTAGCATTCTAATTTTCATTTCCCACTATTGTATACATCAGGGTTTGGTGGTAGCTAAGGCTACCAACTTGGTCAAGGTTTAGGATGATACAAAATAACCCTTGGCTAATGAGAAACCTTAGGAGAAAAGGGAAGCCCTTAGTAATTATGACTCTGAAATTTAGAAGGAATGTTTAATGTAGTCTGAGATGTCACATTTGAATATCTGAGTGTGACTTGGTGTTGCCTCTTTTTAGGGACTTACAGTGCATTCATGGCTTTGATAACAGGATAAGTGGAATAAAGTACACATTTGGTGCCCAGAGCTCAATTAGTTCTGGGCCCTCTTCTCTGTCTACAAGCAACCTCATCAAGTCCCATGGCTTTAAATAACTCCTCTATATTAATGACTCCCAAACCTCCTGCAAATCCAGATTATATATTTACCAGCCTATTTGATCAACTCCTTCGATTCCTCCCAAGGGTCTCAAATTAACACGTCCAAAGCAAAACTATTAATTTCTGGCTATCAGTACCCCCTTTTCTAATAAATGGCACCATAAGCCACCCAGTTGCTCAAAACAAAAATCTAGAGCTTCCCTGTGCAATATGGTAGCCACTAACCACATGTGGCCATTTAAACTTAAATTTTATTTAATTAACATTAAATTTTTAAAAATTTCAGGGTCTCAGTTTTACTAGGCTCATTTCAAGTGCTCAATAGTTACATACAGGTGGCTAGTAGCTATCATATTATATAGATACAGAACATTTCCATCATCATAGAGTGTTCTAATGGATGGTGCTACTCTAGAGAGGTTGTCATTGATTTCTCTTTCTCTCACCTCTCACATTTTTTAAAAGATTTTTAATTTATTTTTAGAGAGGGGAAGGGAGAGAGAAAGAGAGGGAGAGAAACATCGATGTGCAGTTGCTTCTCATATGCCCCATACTGGGAACTTGGCCTGCAACCCAGGCATGTGCCCTGACTGGGAATCGAAGCAGTGACCCTTTGGTTTGCAGATTGGTGCTCAATCCACTGAGCCACACTAGCCAGGGTTTTGTTTGTTTGTTTTTGCAAAACTGATTCTCATTTATTCACAAGCCTGACGTCTCCTCGGAAAGAGATCGCCTCTGGCGGGGTCTAACCATTTCAAGGGCATTAACAAGTCCTATGGATTTTGCTTCCAAAGCATTCCCTAATTCAATCCATTTCTCTCCAACCCACCCCTACCACCTTGGTCTACGCCACCATCACCTTTCATTTGGACTGCATAACTCACCTCCTAATCGCCCTAGTTCCAATTTTACCCACCTATAACCATTTCCCCTATAGTAGACAGAATAATTTTTTTTTTCAAAACTGAAAATCAGATCATGTGTTTGCCCCTGCTACAATCCTTCCAATGGCTTCTGTGGCTGATGCTGTGATTTTATCCTAATATCCTTTCTCTCCTTCAACGTCAGTAATAGGACCTCTGAAGTTTAGGTGAGCATATAGAGGCCCAATATAAAGAGTACACTTTTCAGGGTCCCCCTCCTTGCATTTATGTGTGGTCATGTGACTGAGTTCTGACCAATGTGGTTGTGTGCCACTTCATGGCACGTCCTTAAAGAGAGCAGGATCTTCCTGTTGCTGTAACAAACATGATGGCTAAAGCTAGGATAGATGATGAGGTAAACTTGGGAGTGGAGTTAGTGCATTATGAAGCAACAAGATAGAAGGAGCCTGGGTCCCTGACACAGTGAATCAACCCACCAGCCCTGGAAGGCCAACATAGACTTTCACATGAGAGAAATAAACTTCATCTGGCTTAAGCCCCAATTACTTTGAGTTTTCTGTCACAGCAGGTCCTAATTCTAATACCACTTCCCATTATACTTAGAAGAAAATCCAAACTCCTTGCCAAAGTCCAGAAGGTTCTGCACGATCTGGTCACACTCCAGTATAATCTCTCCACTTTCCCCTCATTCACCATTCTTCAGTGGCTCTGGCTTTCTTTTTTGCTGCTTCAAGACACAAAGCTTGTTCCTGCTTTAGGGTCTTTGCACTTCCTTCTGCCTGCCTTGCTCCTCCTCAGATCTCCTTATGGCAGACACCTTTTTGTTAGTCAGGTCTCAGCTTAAATATCACTGCTTTAGAGAGAGTTCCCCTGAACAGTCTAAAATACCTAAGAAGTCACTCTCTCTTATACCTTATTTTTATTCTCTGCATAAAACTTGTCACTAACTGATGATTCTTTAACTTGTTATTGTGTGCCTTCTCCTACTAGAAAGTAAACTCCATGAAAATAGGAATTTTGATTGGTTGTCTAGAACAGTGCCTGAAACCTAATCGACTGTCAGTAAATATTTGTCAAATACTATTCTATGGATAGTGTGGTGATTAAAAGCAGGTTTTCTAAAGACAGACAATCCAGCTCAGTTGTGTGACCTACTGCAAACTGTATAACCTAAGACTCTGTAAAATGAGATTTCCTATGGCATAGGGCAGGAGTAAATAAAATAACACTTATAAAGCACTCCCTCTCTTTCTCCATCCCTTCCTCTGAGAGCTCCCTCTTTCCCTCTACCCTCAGCCCCTCTATGGCCACTTCTCTTTTGCTTTGCATGCCTCTCTACATAGTCTAGCTAAGACTAGGCTTTTGAAATTTGGAGGGAATTAACGTCATCAGTCGGGAGGACCAGAGCTACCCTTGCTCGTGTGCTAACTTTGCAGCCTCGACAGCCAATCAGAGTTGGCATCAGAGCCCGAGTTTCGAGGATTCACCAATCGAGTCTGGGAGGCGGGCCGCGGTGAAGGCAGTGGCGAGAGAGGGCGGGGACAAGGAGAGGGCACGCTTAGTTTTCTCGGCCAACATCTCGGCAAGCCAATGGGAGAGGCCTGAGGTCTGAAGGCAGTAGGGCGTGGCGTTGGCTGTCACCGCAGTGCGAGGCCGTCTAAAGTCCAGCCAATCAGAGAGAGGAGGTGGGAGGAGACTAGCCAATCAGTTTGCAGTATAGGCGAGGCTGGGCATTGAGGAGTCTCGCGCGGACGCCGCGGGCTCCGGAGCTTCTGTCAGGGAAGCTGAGCGTGCGGAGGCAACTGAGGAGGCGGGAAGGCGGCAGTGGTTGAAGGGGCGCTTGCTAATTTGCAGGGAGGAAGTCCGAGGGTGTGGGGAGCCATGGTGATGGCAGCGAAGAAGGGCCCAGGACCCGGTGGTGGGATCGGCGGGGGAAAGGCGGAGGCGGAGGCGGCTTCGGAGGTGTGGTGTCGCCGGGTGCGGGAGCTGGGCGGCTGCAGCCAGGCCGGGAACCGTCACTGCTTCGAGTGCGCCCAGCGCGGGGTCACCTACGTGGATATCACCGTGGGCAGCTTCGTCTGCACCACCTGCTCCGGCCTCTTGTGAGTGGACTGGCGCTGGAGGGAGAAATGGGAAGGAGTGGCGGAGAGTCGACGTAGGGGACAGTGGAGACCCGGGGCAAACGGACAGAACCGAGATGTGGGACGTAGGGGAGGCTTGGGGACGTGCCCAATGTGATGAGAGAGCCCTCTGCTGCAGAGGTGTCATGGGAAAGGGAATGGGGCCGGGGAGGCAAGACACGATTGGAGTCGCGTTGCAGGGGAAAGGAAGGACACCGGAGAGGAACGGAGAAACCCCCTAAGGGAAGGAGAACCGAAAGTGGGGATAATTGAAGGGAATGGGGAGGAGGGTTGTGGGGCAGGGGATTGGAGGTTTAAAAGGCCAGAGAATGGCATAAACCTTGAGAGAGAACTTCATTTACATAGAGGGCAAAAAGGAAAGAGGTAGGGTAAACTGGGCTCAGGATGAAGCAGTGCCTTTCTTCCTTCTGGCTTGTGCCCATCTTGGAGTGTGAGATGGAGAAACCAAGTTAAAATAGGTAAATTAACCCAGGTTGACAGCGCAGAGATAGTGGCAGGTAAGGAGCCATGTTCCAGTCAGTGTTCAGTTGCAGATCCTAATCTTGCAGGGCTTTGAAATGCGATCTAGAAGTAGGTATCTTACAAATCTAAGAGATGATGAGACCTGATGGGTTGCCGTTAGCCTGACTTTTCCAAAGGTTTGGAGGTCTGAATGAGCCATTCTTAAGTGTAATAATTTACATCTTTAAACTCCTTGTTGTCATGCTTAACACTAGTAGTAACATGTGGCAGCCCTTTCTAAGTTGGGGGAGAGAGGGATTGTTGTATAATCTGATTCACTACACTTGGCACTGGCGCTGTATTTGGTCATGTCTGAGCTAATTTAGAACCACAGTTCTAGCCCAGATTTCTGGTTATACAGTAAGTTTCTTTTTCCCCCTTAGGGAATTATTTGGTTAGATGCATGATTAGCATTTGATACCAAGCCTGTATCTCTATTTTTTATATAAGTTTATCAGGGAGTTTATTTTGACCACTTTTTAGTATTGTTTTAATACATTGGTTTGTTTGGTTGTTGGTTTCATTTTTAACAAGGAGCACTTTCCTGTTTCTTCTTACACCTTTAGGAGCCAAGGAGGGAACAATATTGTTCTTGCTTAACAGATGGGAGAACAGAAGCAAAGAGAGTTTTAATAACTCATCCAATGCCATATGGGGCTTGCTGTTTTCAGCATTTGTTGTTTAATATTAGTTAAGATCATGGCAGATCAGAAATGAGGATCCAGGTCTTCTAAGATACAGTTTAGGATTATTTCTCTATTCGTTTTTTACCTCCTTTGCCAAATTTCTGTGTTCTGATCCACCTCACTTGTGTGTTGTGAGAATGGATTTGACTTCGGTCTAAGTAAAAGCCACTTGAACTCTTGGAATGATGATTTAGAACCCAAACAGAAATGTGTCAAAAATTGTGATTACAGATGCAAATGAAGCTTGAGACTGGGACAAGTACTCTAAGGAGAAAAGGAGCAAAGTTTAGGAATATTTATGGCATAAAGCAGAAAGAGAAAGCAGATTTCTGAAGATCTTGTTATGAAAAGGAAAATGTGATTATAGCATCTGGAAAAAAGTAAAGGGGAGCAGGGGATTAAAATTGATGATATATCAGAGTCTAGGTTCTAGGAAGAAATTGGTAGGAAACAGTGTTAATTCATTGCCGTGGTTAGCTAGGGATGACAGATAAAATGCTAAAAGTGCTGACATCATTATTATTTTATAGATCTTGGTTTAATGTATCTCACAGATAACATTTCCCTTCTATAATGAACATCTTTCAATCAGGACAAAAGGAGGGGCAAAGGATCTGGGACACACTAAAAACCTGGTTTCTTTTGCTGGAAAAGTTAACTCCTTATATATCAGTGTACAGTTGGCAAAACTTTACCACTTTCCCCGGTGGGAAATCATTATTGTTGATCTCATTAATGAAAAGTCAAATGCCTGTGATCTGGAGAGACACTGGGTGGAGGTGATTGTAGCCTAAGGATTGATTCATTTTATAGAGAAGTACTCCAATGCCTGCCTCTGTCTAAGTTATATGCACCTCAGACTAGGGCTTAGCTTCTTAGAAACTTAAATTCTAGTGGGAACGAATGATGAAATCTACTAGCCCTTTTTTGTTTTGTTTTGTTTTGTTTTAGTTTCAAAAAATTCTAGAAAGGACATTTTTGCTTAGTATTTTGGTGAAGCATTATGAGAATAACTTAGCGTGATTCTGGTAGTATTAGACTTTAAGGGACACATTTTGGTGGTTGGGAAATGGAAGCTAGGATAACCCTTTGTTAGCAGGAAGTCAGAGTGAAGGATCAAGAGGAGGCTGGGCCAATAAATGAAGCTGAACTGAAGACATGTTGAGATATAAGGAGAGAACTATCAGATGAAATTCTGTAAAAAAGCTTTAGTTTTCCTGTGACTGTCCACCTGGATCTGATAGTACTTTGCATTTGCTAATTGGGGTTCTAATTAGCGTGGACTAAAGGAAGACGTATAAAGTTTTTAAAGGGGTCTTAACAAACTGCCTGTGTCCTCTGATATGAGAAGGGCTGGGAGCTGACAAGTGGGCAGAGGCAGAATATGTGAGGTGGGGCATACTTATTGTAGGCTGCAGAATAAGGAGGAAGCATACCCCATCCAGCAGGCAATAGAGAGGCATATGCTCCATAGTAACACATACCAGTTCACATCTTAAATTCACCTGGTTGATTGCCCATAGATTAGGATTTTGTGGTGCTGGGAAGTGAAAGCTGTGGTAGGCCAACAGCCCGTACATTTATTTATTTGGTCAGTTAACAAATATTTATTGAGTGTCTATCAAGCCCCAGACACTGTTTGTAATAAACAAAAGTGACAAAGTACCCATATTCATGTAGCTTATGTCCTAGTAGAGGTCATGGCCTTTAAATAAATTATTAAATATATAATTGCAGGTAGTGGCAAATGCTATGAAGTAAAAGAAAGTTCAGCATGGACCAGGAAGTGGTGGGAACTCATACTGAGGTATGATGATAAAAAGAGAAGAAAGATTCTTAGTTAAAATGGAGAGGATATTGGAGGGCAGGGGGATTGAAGTACCATATTTAGCACCATAGCCAGAGAAAAGAGACAGCAGAATTGGCTTTGTATTTTGAAAGCCAGTTTTCTGTTGAGTGTATCACACATACATCTACCTCTTAGAGGGATAGAGCGTTCTGGTGGCAGTGAGAATAACCAGAGTTCCCAGCTGGCTGGCTTGGCTGATGTAGCAAAGTTTGACTGTTCTAGCCAAAGTTGAATTTCCCAAGAAAATTCAGATTTTAATATTGGTGAATGGATGATGACTATGCCTTCATCTCTGTGCATGTGAGCTCATTTTTGCCATCTCTTTTTTAATGAGAAATACTTTCTCAGCTGTAGCAAAACCCCACAGTGTTGGTGTGAGGCCTGAGAGAGAGAGGCTGTTAGTTTCTGCTGTTTCTAAATTGACATATGTGCTACCACTACTGTAGGTCCCAAATCTGACCTAGTTTTTATTCATTTTGTTTTCTTCCAATACCTAATTTCCTTAACCAGATATAGATCCTTTTAATTGGCCCATGTTCATATGGAAAATAATAATAAATAATAATATAAGAATAAACTCTGTGTTTTGCATACTTACAACTGTAAACCTACTTTCCCCCATCCTGTACATGTACCTGTACTTGTGTGTTTATATTTCTGACTCTTCTACTAGAGCATGAATCTGCCATTTGAAGCTAGATTGGGGTAAAAATTGCTGCTATAAAGGATTTCCAAAGCAGAGTCTTAGATGTTCTCTCTTGTTTTGGTTTGCTTGTATACCTCATGAATAAATCACTTTTCTGTACAAAGAAAACATGTTGAGGCCTGAGGTCTCATTGACATCAGGGATGGGCACTACCTTTGATTACCAATGTTTTCAGCAAAGTAGGTGACATGCTTCCCTGACCTGGCTGTTTGAATGCATCCTTTAATACATTATCCTTCAAGTCTCAGGAGTAGATACTTGTCTCTTCTGCACAACTTTACTCTGATGATGAGATTAAGTCAGGGTTAAGAGGGATAGGGCTCTGAGCTGGGTGTTGAGATGTGCTTGATAGCTCTTTATTTGTGACAAGTTCATACCCTCCTTGTCCCATAGTTTCCCTGTCTGGTCCACTTGTAGTGGCTCCTAATTGAAGCACTTTTTATCTCCACGAAGGGAAAGGTGCATGTTAATCAATAATTCAGTATTTTTCCATCTGTGTGGGTTGGAGAGATAGACATGTACCTTGCCCTTATTTTAGTCCCACCCCTCTATCCCTCCTACCTCACCTTTCATATTCACCCCTGCTGGGTGAATATGAATTAGAGTGTCACTAATTACAGATGTAAGCACTTTGTCATATGGGCCCTTGGATAACTTGAAAAGCCCCTAAGAAGATAATAAATTACCAAAGGAAGGAGAAGAAAGGGGGGAAATGTAAAAAGATTGGCATTGAGCCTGAAGAGGAGGGCAGCTGATATCAGGATTCTACATGGCTCTACATAAGAAGGACAGTTGTTTATCATTGTCACTGAGGAACAACAACAGGAAATGGCTTGAAGCAGGGGAATCGAGATTAGGGAGAAATTTCTTAAAATTAGTGAAATTGACCCTGGAGCAGGGTAATGGGGGAGCCTTCCTATTATAAAAGCCTCTAGTAGGGACTCATCTTAGTGATATTTGGGTTCAAGATAAGGGCTAAACCGGTTAGCTGAACCCTGCGTAGGCAGAGGAGTAGAATCCTGGAGCAAAGAAATGCAGTCTGGGGTGTATGAATTTGAACACAAATACTCAGAGGTAAGGAATTCCCAAGTTCAGATTTGGCACAAATGAAAGAACTTGGGTGCTGGGTGGAACTGTTTTTTTCCATTGTTGACCTGGCAGAACCTTCTTATCTGAGCAGCTGAGCAGGTTTGAGGCTTTTATGAAGTTAAAAGCAAAATATAGGCCAGTTTGAGGGTGATGACCACAGAAAAACAAAGCTGTGGTATTTGTAGAAATAGTAGGTTGCCTAATACAGGGAGGGGAGAGAAAGGCTACAAGAGAATTGGGCAGACTTTAGGATCTCTGCAAGTTGCTTCACTTGCCAAGTAATTCAGAGTACTTCAAATGTCATTTAGTTGCATTTTTGTGAAAAGGAAACTGAAGTGGAAAAAGACTTTATGACTGGGCTGAAGGCTTGTGACCTAATAAGGTACTTGCTTTCAATTGGAAAAAATTGCACCATTCTGGGCAAATAAATTTATCTCTCTATTTCTCGCAGCATCTCCTGGTTAGAAATAACAGAATGGATTTGCTGTAATGGGTTTACTGAAGGGCAGTGTCTCCTTCTAGTTCTCACTTCTTTTGGGGAGAACCTGAGAGTTAATTTGAGGAGACTATGTACAAGTTGGACAGTGGATTGGTTTAATTCCAGGCCAGTGACTCACATCTGGCCCATTGTATGACCCTGGTATGTACCCAAAGGAAAGCAACACTCCTAGACGACTTGATGTCATCTCCTGGGAGGGGAGGGGTTCTTGTTTCTAAATTGCTTCTCTCAGCCAGCAATGGCCTCTCTATGATTCAGAAACAAATTCTCTGACTCATAGGCCATGTAACTAGTCCCTCTTCTGGACTGTAGAATGTTGTATTGCCTTGTAGAGAAATCTCTCTGCCCCTGAACTGTGGCTCTGGTTTTAGTACAGACATCAAGGTCAAGCAATGGGTTTTGTACTGTGCTATGGAAACATCCTGTTCCATCAGATTTTTTGGCCCAAAGCACCTAAATCACTTAGTTTTCTGTGCCTTTCCTTTATCCTGTTCATCTCCTCTCCCCCTCATAAAACCGTATAGTTCAAGCTTAGCCAAAGGAAGTTCTGTTGTTCTAAGTATCCCCTCTAGATTGATGCATGGGACAAGCCTCTTCCCCTCCCCCTACAAGGAAGCACACCTCCCTGTTTATACCTTGCTAACAGTTCCTGGTTCTCCTTTCCGGAAAAGTCAATGACCTTTATGTGACAGGCTTAGAATCTGTTTTCCTAATGTAAACATAGTACATTTTTACTTTTCCCCTGACCATTTCTCTTCCTCCTCTGCTGCATCCTAGTGCTAATTCTCCCTGGTCCAGCGGTGTGCCTAACTTGCACCCTACTGCATTGAAAAGAACTCTTGTCTAGGTTCCCTGGGTCCTTCTTATGAGCCAGCAGTCTGATGATTAAGGACTGGGTTCTGTAACTTTTGTATCCCCCAAAGTGCCTACCACAGTGTCTTGTGTTTTGGCAAAGTAAGTATTTGTTATTGGGAGGTGAAGAAGAGGACCAGGATCACAGGGACAGAGAGGTCGGCTCTGGTTAGGCCTCAGAAGGGTCTGCCATTCTGAGGGGGGAGGGCCTAGTTGTTAACGTGAGAAAGGGCAAAGGAAGGCATATAGAAACAGGCTGTCTGGACTTAAAAACGAAACAAAACTAAACCATTAGTAAGAGGCTTGAGGAGAGAAAACTGGAATATCTCTGAAATGTGATCAGAAGAGAGTCTTCAGGGCAGATCAAGTTGAAGAGCTATTGTTTGACATGTAATAACAATGCCTGCCTTTTGGTTTTTCCTGCTCTTATCTTTACTAGGAGCACCAGTCCTCATTGGTATTACTTGGTTTATTAAGGGGCATTTTCAGACCTTTTACTGAAAAGTCTAGCAGCACAGTTGCTGAAAGTGCCCTTAATTGTAGCCTCCATTGTAGCCTTTAGTGTCCTTTCCTTTGTCAGAATTCGTAATCAGTAATTTATCATTCAAAAGGGGCCTACCCTTTGCTGTTCACTCAGCAGTGTGTCATCTGCCCTCCCCTCCTGCCTTCACCACCTTCACTTAAACTAACATGAACACTGCCATTCTTCCAGACTTGGCAGGAGCACCTTTATTCTGTGTGTGCACCTGTAAGCATGAATGTGTGTTTTCCTCACCTTTCTGTATGATTTCCATTTGGTAAATTTTGTTATCTCTTCCTTCTCCCTTTGCTTTCCTGAGGGGATCAACCAGGACCCTATTCTAGAGTTACAGTACTTTTATTTTCACATCTTGATTTGTCCATTTTTTTCAAGAGAGTAAAAGTTTGAAGAGGCCTCATCGTTTGAGACTCTCTCCTGAATGCACCTGTGGTCTTTCATTTCTGGTTTCGGGGTCTAGTTTATTTGTTTTGGTTCAGCCAGTTTTGTTTTAATTTGATGATGGCAGTAGATGTAGACCAGAGTCAAGCTTAAGGTATACAGAAAGGGGGATCTACGAAACCCTGCTTGGCTTAGCCCCAAGTTTCCCGTTAGAACACTCTGGAGGGCAGTTGAGGTACAGGGAGGTAGGAGGGCAAGAAAGCCTTATTCTCTGCTGTAATCTCCACAGGACTTCTGTGGGCAGAACTGGACTCTCAGGGAGTTAAAAGAACACACAGAGCTGGCACAAAAACATCCCCACAGATCTATGTTCCTGACTCATGCCAATCTCCTATCTCATTGTTGAACCTGACTTCCTCCTGCCTCATTGAAAGATCTAGAAATGAGAAAGTCCAGAATATTTTTTTTCTCAGAGATCTCTTCCTGAGAGAGAGGGACCCTCTCCATTCCTACCACCACAGCAGTCTTCTGTGTAGACAAGAGGGGCAATTAGCCTAGGGACTGTTTTTTGTTTCCAGACCTTATCTTTGCTAGTATTATCTGGAATTGTCATGGGGCTTCACATTTGTGTTTCCTCGTTCTTGAGGAATTTATGTCTCGTGGGCTCCGGAACCTTGAAGATGTGCTATAGGTCTAAAACAATGATAAAACAACAAATGGGAAGTGGTTGCATGTCTGAGTTCCCAGAGGTACCCCCTCAGCTGAACGCTAAATTGTTGGGGTCAGAGCCAAGGTAGAGGAGGTTTCTGGAGGGGCAGTCTCTGCCTTCCTCTCCAGAATGACTGGGATTGCAGTATGTTCCTGACTCTGTCATCCCTGTCTCTTATTAGAAGCCGCCAAAACATTCTTGCTTACTTCTTTCCTTGAATTAGGAAGTAGCTTCAGGCAAGGAGTTCTACTTGAGCTTAATTTATGTACTGTTTTATCCTTTCTCCAATCCCCCTCCCATAAACAGACCTGCAGCCCTAACTACATTATACTTTCTTTTTATTTCTCTCCCACAGGAGAGGACTGAACCCCCCTCATCGAGTCAAGTCCATCTCCATGACAACTTTCACTGAGCCTGAAGTAGTATTCCTGCAATCCCGTGGGAACGAGGTGGGTGCGATACCGCCAGTGAAGTGTTACAGACTCCATCTTATCTGCTGGGAAGCTTTGACTCCATTATAGGAAAACCCTACAGTTTCTTTTTGGTCAAGTTGCTCTTATTTTTTGATATGGAAGATATCTTGTCTTATATATATTTTATATTTACAGAATCTTATACTAAAAAAAAAAGTGTGGTCTTTTAGGCCCCTTGTTGGGGGAATCAGGGAAAGGAGCAAAATCTCTGCAGAGGGTTGTCTCTAGGCAGGCAAGTGGAGGAATGACTAAAACTCCACCTTGATGAGCCTTTAGATTTGACTGGGCCTGCCCCTGTGATTAAGACCTCCTGAAGCTGAATTGAGCCTCAGCCACCTAGGTTTAAGTCTATGTCATTTACTTGAAAGTAAGCTAAACCCCTTCCTCAACTAAATCTGCTAGTAGGAAGATGGCATTCCTGATGTTAGCAGAACGCCTGGCTTTGGGAGATCGGTTTACTTGGAGGGTGCAAACAAGTGTCTCTGGAGGGTGTTCTGGAAGCCACAGCTCTGAAAATTGTCCCTGACCCTATTCTTATCCAAATTGAGTTCCCCACAATTCCCATGGCCCTCTAATTTCTTTTATCATATGTGTCACAGTACATAATTATAAGTTTATATTTGTTTATCTAAGGCATGACCCTCCCCCCATTAGATGACAGCTCTGTGATGACAAGGATTGTATCTATTTTGTCGGTATACCCGGATCTTCTCACCATGCCCATGCTCTATAAATATTATTTAATGAATAAACTGGAAATGGTATCCTTCCCATTTCATGCTTTCTGCCTCAACTCGTTTGTCACCTACATCCTTTCCTTTAGGTTTGCAGGAAGATTTGGCTGGGTCTTTTTGATGCTCGGACATCTTTAATACCAGATTCCAGGGATCCTCAGAAAGTGAAGGAGTTTCTCCAGGAAAAATATGAGAAGAAGAGATGGTAAGGAGGAAGAAAGAGATTGATATGGAGACATGTGTCCAAGGCATACTTCATCTGATAGTCCAGTTTCCAGGGTTGAATTGGGCCTTCTCTCAAAAGCTGGACTTGGGTCAAGTCTGTTTTACTCAGTTTCAGTTAGGGCTAAATTCTGTCTTAAAAATAATAAAGCTACATGAAAGGCAGCTTGTTCTTGGTCACTAACCTTGCAACTTTGATGTCCCCTCTTTTGGGGAGGGAGGAACTGGGCCTGTGGGAGTGGGGGTGAGTTTTTATACCTTAGCTGATCTCATATGGAGAGAGGTGGCTGGAAGCACATGTCCTATATATTTTTATGCTTTTATCCCATAGTTTCATCATGATTTATATGTATGCTGTTTTCTGAAAGAGGAAAACAACATTTCTATTCTTCCTTGCCTTTTCTCTCCCCAGGTGTCACTTCTTATTGTTTGATTTCTGAGATATGTGAGTGTTGGAGGATAACTATAGGATGGAGAAGAGAATGCAGAGAGCAAGGAGATTGATATGGATAAAATAGCATTTTGGATTCACCCCCGTGGGTATCCTCAGGAGAAAGATTTTTCCAGAGTAGAGACCACATGCACAATAGTGGGAGGGGTTTTATCAAAAGTAGAGGGAGCTGGCAGGAGAGGTTGTGAGCTCTTAGAAGGTGAGGTAGCATAAAGTTTTTCTATGGGATTGAGAAGGAAAAATCTGAAGAAATACTGAGGAAATAAAAGGGGGACCTTGAATAGGAAGTTGGGAAAAGATTGCCTGTTCATCAGCATTATTGCAGGTATTCTTGAAACCCAGATGGTTTGACATGTCAGAAATAGAAGGGAATGGTGGGGCAGGGGGAGGCAGAAAACTGTACTTAAACAACAATAAAATTAAAAAATTTTAAAAAGCCCTGGCTGGTGTAGCTCATTGGATTGAGCATGGGCCTATGAACCAAAGGGTTGCAGTTCGATTCACAGTTGGGGCACATGCCTGGATTGCAGGCTAGTTCCCATCAGGGAATGCACAAGAGGCAACCATACATTGATATTTCTCTCCCTCTCTCCTTCCCTTCCCCTCCAAAGGTAAATAAATACAATTTAAAAAAATTTTTTTAAAGAAAGAAATAGGAGGAAATAATGGCCATAAGCCAGAGCAAACTGAACATTTCTGTAGAAAAAATGAACATCTGACCGTAAAGTAGAATCTCAACAGAGGCAGAACTTTGCTATGTAGCTAAATTCTCTTTATTTTTTTAATTGTTTTTTTAAAGGTTTTATTTATTTATTTTTAGAGAGAGAAGGGAGAGAGAAAGAAAGAGAGGGAGAGAGAGAGAGAAACATCAATATGCGGTTGCTGGGGGTCATGGCCTGCAACCTAGGCATGTGCCCTGACTGGGAATTGAACCTGTGATGCCTGGTTCACAGCTTGCGCTCAATCCACTGAGCCATGCCGGCCAGGGCCTAAATTCTCTTTAATTCAAAAAAGAGAGCTAGTAGGGAAAAACAAAGGATTTTGACTGCTGTAACCTGTGTTTTCCCAAGCACCTAAGCTGATCACGGACTAAGATTTTACCCCTCTCCTTTCAACCTTACTATTCTTTTTTGAAGGTATGTCCCTCCAGATCAAGTCAAGGGGCCCACTTATACCAAAGGCAGTGCCTCCACCCCTACCCAGGGCTCCATCCCAGAAGGGAAACCTGTTCGGACACTTCTGGGGGATCCTGTGCCATCTCTCTCAGCTGCTGCCTCCACCTCTAGCCAGGTAACTCTCAGATCTTTTCAAGATTATTTTGGGATTTGTGAGACAGTAGTGTCAGTTTCCTAAATCAAATCTCCTGGGCTCAGCAGTTCAGGAGCTATGAGTTGGTTCTCAGCCCTGCTGTTACCTATGTCTTGCATCTATCACCTTGGACTTGTATCTTTTGGAAGAAATAACCCAACAGGAAGTGGTATTTAGGGAAGTCAGAGTATGAACTCCAAACCTGACCATTCCTCCAAGGAAACACAGAAGGGGCCGGGACTCTGCTTTAAGCACCTGGGAAAGATGAGGAGGTAACAGCTCCAGGGGGACTGTTGAACGATATCCCTGTATATCTCAGGGTTACCTTGACTAACATGCTGTAAAATGTGTGGTTTTGGGAGCTGGTATACTGAGGAAACAGAAGAATTAGGTATGAGAGAGGCTAAGGCAACTTCTGCCTAGGAATCCTCTCAGTCGAAGGCAGTTTCTTGCTCTCTTCTCTCTCCACTTGCCTATCCGGGGCAGCCTGGGGAGCCCTGCAGGGGCTAGGTATGTCTGGGATTCCAAGTTCTGTATGTAATGTCTTCTCCTCCAAGTCTGTCAGTCAGTCCCAGGCTCGGACATCCCAGCTCCGGAGTGCTCAGCCACCTCCCCACTCATCAGTCAAGAAAGCCAGTACTGACCTGCTGGCTGACATTGGTGGAGACCCCTTTGCTGCTCCCCAGACAGTACCATCCTTTGCTGCATTCCCAGCCTTTGGAGGTAAGTGGGACTTGGATAAGAGCCTTCCTACAACATAGGTACCTTTAACACAAGGAATTCCCTCCCTTGAGGGTGACCAGGTTTCACTCGGCCCTAGCTGTCTTTACGTGAATGAACGTGATGATAATTCTGAAGCATCAAGGCTGGGAGGGTTGGGATCAAGTGGCTACTGCAGAGATTATGTTTGGTAGTTGGAGGCATCTAGCACTTTCTCTTAGAACACTGGAAGTAGCCTTTTTATTACTTTCACTCTCTATTAAAATGGGAGCAGGGGGATTATCCATTTCCCCTGCCTTCTTCCCAAAGATCAACAATAGCCAATAATAGAGTTGAAGAAAGTGGTATCTGGTTTTCATTTTTCCTTTTCAAGCTCTTCCCCTACCCCACCTGCCAAAAAAAGACAATTTTTTTCACATGATTCTGCCCAAACTAGGCCCCAACAAAAATATTAAAGCCTCATGGAGTAAGGATAAAAAGGTGGTAGGAAGTGAACTTGGAGGCCCCTGAGATCCCCTTTCGCCTGCATGTGTCTAGCTCTCTGCAAAGGCCCCTGCCATCTCCCTCTGAAGAAGAGCCTGTGGAAAGGCAGATGTCCCACTGAGTCCCCCTTTGAAGGCCTTTAGAATTAATATATATTATATAGATTAATATACATTTTATCTATATAACCTTTATATTCCTTTCCCCTATAGGCCAGACACCTTCCCATGGGGGCTTCGCCAACTTCGATGCCTTTGGCAGTAGCCCCAGCCCTTCTGCATTTGGAAGCATTCCTCTAGCCGGCCAAGCCCCATTCCAGGCCCAGCCAACAGCCACAGGTAAGTTCTGCCCCACTGGTTTCCTTTTTCTTTTCCAACTACGTTCAACTGTCCACATCCATACATCACCCTTCATTCACGTTCAACCTAAAGAATTGTGCAAGAGAGCCTTGGCTGGTGTGGCTCAGTGGATTGATCACTGGCCTGTGAACCAAAGGGTGCCAGTTCGATTCCCAGTCAGGTCACATGCATGGGTCGTGGGTCAGGTCCCCAATTGAGGGCGCTCAAGAGGCAACCACATATTGATGTTTCTCTCCCTCTCTTTCTCCCTCCCTTCTCCTCTGTCTAAAAGTAAATAAATAAATAACCTTAGAAAAGAAAAGAGAATTGTGCAAGAGAGAAAAAGAGAAGAAGCTCCAGGAAAGGATGAGAGGAGTCCGATCAGATTCTTGTGAAAAAGAGGGGGCTCTATTGTTATTTTTTCATGGAAGAAAAATGGCTAAAATTATATCAGGAGCTGTGTGGGCTGTGCACTAGGAGATTTCTGACTGGGAAGTATGGGAGACCTGAGTCCTAGAAAAACTGAGGAAGGACACGACCTTTTCTCTAGAGTGCTCCCATTGTCTTTGTTGCAAAATGCCTGAAGGTCAAGGCCTGGGTCAGAGACTAAGGCAGTCTCCAGAAGTCCTCACCCACCCCTCTTAGAGCAGAAGCCTGTAAACTCTGTGTTGTGTAGTTTATAATATACAATTGACAGAGAGTCTAAAGCTTGCCTTAAAGCATTTGGCTCCTCCCTAAGTGCCCAGGCATTGAGTCTTCAGTGCCTTTGCACTGCCCCTCTTCCTTTGGACATCCCTGGATGCGGGAGGGCAGCTGGAGTGCTGTAAAGAGCAGATATCTGGGGAAAGCCAGTGACTTATGCTCTTTTTCTCCCTTCCTTACCTACCTGCCCTTTCCCTTCTCCACCATCATTGCCAGCCAGTCGGATGCTAACTGGAAGTTACAGCTTTGGTGAGTTATTCTGCCCACCCCAAGGTAGGAGCCTACCCAGGTAGGAGCCAAACGCAGGTCCTCTGATCCTGGAATTTGGAGAACTGGACGGAGCCCTTCAAATTCAGCCATTTTGCAGATGAGGCAGTTCAACGGTTTCCCTAGTCATGCAACCCTCGAAGTTACAGAGCTTGACCCAGGGCCACAGCCTTCCCATTGCAACACAATGAACTGGCTACTTCCTTTTGTTTTCATTTTAATTTTTTTGAATGGGACAAGAAGAGACACTTTATATTGATAAAAGTTAACAAAAGAAGTTTAACTGATGGGGTAGCCTTGAAATTCATAAAGCAAAAACTATTAGACACAATCAAAATCTAATAAACCAACGGAGAGGGAGACTATAACAGAGTCACAAAATAGATGAAGTAGATAGACAAGGAAGGAAGGAAGTTGATCATTTGAGTAATACTTTAACAAGTTTGATCTAATAAATATAAGTAGAACTTTGTAAGCAAAAGACAGAAGATATAGTTTTTCAAACATATAACCACTTTACAATATAACCATATAGAGGGAAACAAAATCTCCATAAATTCTAACATAGAAATTGTATAGGTCATATTCTATATGATTAAAAATTTCCTAAACAATACTTAAAGGCATGAAACAGGATGAATATACTTACAACATGGAAAACAGACAAAAAGCTAATAGCCATAATGTGTTTTTTAAAATACCTATAAATAAGAAAGAATAATGGACAAAGGATATAAGCAAATAATACCCAGAAAAAATGAAAATGTCTTTGACCTAATTAATCAGGGAAAATCCAAATTAAGATAAAACAATCATTTTGCACATTGTATTTGCAAAAATTTTAAAGGTTGATGAAGGTTAATATTATGTGGGGAAATGGGCCCTTTTGTGAGCTATTGGCAAGAATGTAAATTGTACAGGGATACTAAGATTAGCAAGGGGGAACTGTCCTTGGCAATGGGAGCTCTAAAGGAAACAGTCTATTCAAGGTTGTTATAAATTGGTCTGTTCAGAAATGCATTCCTAACACAATTGATTGTTTTAAAGACTTTAAAGGAGAGAAAGAAGACACTAGCCCTGGAGCCATTCCTGGCTGAACCTGGGATGAAACATTTGTCCAGTGTCTGATCATCTCAAAAACTAGAGTCCGCAGCCATATTCAGAGCCAACCAGCATTTATGAGGCTCTTGCCATTGCTAGGGGCATCCATGGGTTATCTCCAGGAGGAAGGAAAGATTCCCCATTTTGCAGGAGAGAAAACTGCCTCAACTTGATCAGTGACTTGGCCAAAATTGAATAGCTGATAAGGGGCAGATTTCATTTACTTTGCACCACACCATGATCACGAGGTGTGTTGTTTCTGTGTGTGATATGAAGAACTATTGGGTATGAAGGAGGAAGATGTTGGTGTGAGGTGGGTATTTCTTCTGACAAGCCTGGTTGTATTTTTATATTTCTGAGAGGGAATATGGAGAGGGGAGGTTTCTAAAACTAGAGTTTCCCCCTGAAGCTGCTGGAAGGCATGTGTACAAATATAGCTCTGGGAGTGAGGCTCTGGAATTGCATTAGAAGCAAACTCATGCACAGGTATTCCTAGCAGTGGCCTCCTTTCTGAGAATGCACTGTCCGTAGGATGTCCACTCCATCTGCGTGAGGGCCAGCTCTGCCCTCTAGTGTCCACAAGGAGACACACAGCACTGCCTGCAGATGGGAGGACAACCTTTGTCCCAGCCTAGAAGGCAGAGGACCTGATTGGTCCTCACTGAGGGGAGTTCTCTGCTATGAAGGCCCAGAGCAGGACTGAAGAGTCTGACCTAAGTGAGGACAGGGAGCTGTGTTCTCTCAAAAATTCTATGTATTCCGAGTCGGTCAGGCAAGAGAAGGGCTTGGGGCTGGAAAATTGGAAGATCCAACACTACCCAGCTGGCTTTCCAGTCTTGCTCACAGCCTGTGGAGTGGAGAGGATTGGAGACCAAGTATGTGCAGGAGCATGATAGCCTAGCACTAGTTCCTTTGGGAAGTCCGGGGATTGGAGAGGAAGAGTGGCCACAGAAAGCACTGTCTTACGTGCTGGCACACTGGAAGCAGCCCATCTTTGGCGCCTGGCAGCAGGCAGGCACTGGGCACCTGTCCTCCCGCTGCATCCTCAGCTTCTCCAAGTGGGAGCCTGGTCACCGTCAGCTATGTTCAGTGCCTACGTATAGTGAAGATACCCTTAAAAAGGGGTTTTTGAAGAAATACAGCCTAAGCCTTCAGAAAAGAAAGAGTATGGAGATTCAAATTACAGTTCCGGGCATTCAGGAAAAAGCCCAAAACTTACAAGAAAACAGGATGAGGTTTGAAGGAGCCAGGGAGTAATGTGGATTTGAGAACCAGCCTGGCTTTGCCATTTGCTTCCTTGTCTCCTGTATTTATCTTTTCCTTTCCCTTCTTTTCCCTCTTGTCTCTAAGAGGAAAAGTATCTTCCATTGTGAAGGACCCCCTCTCCCTTAACCCTTCCCCACTTTCTGCAGGGTTTTGTCCTATCAGCTTTACCTGAATAACACCTCCACTTAATTCACCTCTGTTGGCATTATTCCCTTTTCCCCACAAATATGCTTCAAGTTTCCCATTCTGCAAAATGTTTCCACAGCCTTACCCATGCCAGCCTCTTGTTGCAACTCCTCTCCACAGCCACACCTCAAATCAGAGGAGCCTATGGCCTTTACTTACTCATTTTTTTGTTGTCCCATTTTCTTTCTTTTTTTTTTTTCAGATTTTTATGGCATAATATTGTACATACTGTTGTGCACCTTGACTTTTTTAAACCTTACAATACTGTTATATCTTTTTAAAATCAGTTCATTAAGAGCTTGCTCATTTTTTTACAGTCCAATATATGTATATACCATAATTTATTTAATCAATCCCCTGTTGATGAATATTTAAGATAATTCAGTCTTCTGCTGTTAAACAGTGCTTCAGTCAATAACCCTGTGTATCATGTTTTGTATTTGCAAGTTAGTTATATCTGTAAGAAAATTCCTGGCAGTGGAATTGGTCTAGCAAGAATATAGTTGATATAGAAATAAATCAAAATATGTCACTACAAATATGTCAAGTGCTATGAAGGAGAAGAACAAGGTGCTATGAGAGGAAAACCATGACCGAATTCATGTTAGTGCATCAGGAAAGGCTAATCTGAAGACATGTTTCTGTTAAGCCTGAAGGGTGAGTAGGAGTTAGCAAGTAGGCCACGGCCATGGGTGGGGCCTCTTGTTCAGGGCAGAGGCAGAGCATGTGAAAGGCTGGAGCTGACTGGGGATGGTCATCTTCACTTGCATTCATGATCTGAGCCGGCCATCATATGTTTCCTTTGAGACATTGTCTTGCTTCTCTGACCCTGCAGATCATTTCTTAAACCATAGGTTATTATAACACCTCACATTTGTGTTATATTTTAGATTTCAAAACACTTTTCTCAGAGGGTCTTTACAGATACCCTATGGGAGGGCAAAAAAAAAAACCATAGAGAATGAAATGGTTTGCTAAAATCACAGTGGTAGCAAGTGGTAGAGCCACAACTAGAATCCATTTCTTCTCGCTTTACTATTCAAACATTCACCCGTTCTTCAGCACCGTCTTATAGCAGACACTATGCAAAGTGTGTCTCCCTTCAGTAATGAGTCTTTCAGCGTTCTCGAAAATAAAACTTCTTCCCATGTGTAGCCTTGTTTTACCTTCACAACAGCCCAGAATGGCTGACAGGGGGAAGTGAACACACAGATAAAGGGGCTTTTGTAAAGTGACGGGGCCTCGGGCCTCTTCCTGTGAGATAGGATTGCTCAGGATTTCCAGGACTCTTGCTCTGCAGGCTGTTTTGTAAAACTCCCACACGGGGTTTGCCCTCTGTGCTTTTTCTTTCCAGATGCCAACACCGGGGAGGGCAGGAGAACCCTGCAGTTGGCTCTGCCCACTGAGCAGTGTGCCTAAGCCCTGATCTAAGCTCATGGCATCAGGGTGGCCTCCTCAGAAGAGGTGGCCCCATGGGAGTGCAGACAGCTGGAGATTTATGCCCATCACCCCCAGTGCCATCTCCACAATCCATGAGAGTCTCCCAAGTGCCCTTGAACCTTTCTGCCATTCAGAGCTCGTCTCCCACCCCATCTACCTGCCCTTCATATGACTTATCTGTAAATGGAAATTCTGCTTTGAGGAAATTACAGACTCATTTGTGTCTTGAGAGAAAAAGTGGGAAGTGTATGTCCACTAGAGCAGCAGGGATGGTGACATGACATGAGGAAGAACTGCTTTTCTCTCAGTGGTGGCAGCTTTGAGCGCTAGGGAGACTGAGGAAAGCTGAGTATCACATTGCCTGGAATTCTCAGTGGGAGGCAAGCCTTCCTGAACTGGGTGATTCGTGGGAACAGTGGGCTGGTTCGGAGAACCCAGGTGGTGCCTCTCATGTGATCATTCCACTTCTCCACTGCACCCCACCTCCTCTTCTCCTGTCCCTTCCATCTTGTCTCAGCCCAGCACTCCCTGTTTTATGTCCTATGACTCCCCAGGGAGCAGCCAGGTGACTCCATTTGGTGCCTCTTCCCTTGTACCTGCCAGTCAGCCCAACAGCCTCACAGATATGGGTGGCCTCCTGGGACCTGGAGCATCAGCTGGAGGTATCCCTAGCAGGTAGGCACAGATATGGGGGGATTGCCTCAGGGCAGGAGAGCCGGCCAAGAAACCCTGGCCTTGCTTTTCCCAGCCCACTCAGCTCCTCCTGTCTGGCAGTATGGGGTTTGCCATCTCCTAGTCCCTTACCCAGTTTTTCTCCTCCGTCCTGGAAGATGTGTGTGCTGACCTCTCTCCCCATATTGCAGCATCTTTGGGATGACTGGCCAAGTCCCCACCCTTCAGTCTGCCACAACTGGTGGAGGTAGCAGCACAGGACTTGCCTTTGGAGGTAAGTTTTACCTGTGGAGAACCCAAATCCACATCCTAGATAGTACTAAGGACTCTGGGCAGGCGTGGGTGGAGTGGAGAGAAGATTTACATGAATGCTCAGTTATAACAATATTAAGCAAATGAGAAAAAATAACCGTCTCTTTTCTCACCTTTACCTTATTCCACCCTGAGCAGCCTTCACCAACCCTTTCACAGCGCCTGCTGCTCACCCTCAGCTGCCTTCCACGAACCCATTCCAGCCCAATGGTTTGGCCACAGGTAAGCCTCCCAGACTGTCCCGTGGCCCTGTCTCTGCACAGGACAAATTTACCTGCACCTCTCTTCGTTCACCCCTCCTCTCACATCAGCAGAAGGACCAGTAGGTGGCCTCAGCTGGCAGTATGGTCCTCTCAGACAAGTCTCCCTGACCGCCCTTCCCCAACCTAGGCCAGACCCGTTTTTTGTGCACACAAAGTAGAAGCACTCAAGCCACAGAATCAGAGTTTCAGAAGTAGAAAAAGCAGACTGCTACTTACCTGCATCACTTCTGAAGGCTGCTTTAGTGTTGATGGTGGTAGCAGTGATTCTCCTTCCTCCAGCCCTCAGTGTCCCCCTGGGAGCCCGGCCTCTCTCCCTCCCGTATCCCAAAGTGAGCCACCTGAAATCAGGACCCTGTTCCCTGTCCTCATCAGCCAGAGTTGTATGGTCTCCTCTCACCCTGCCCCTCCTTAACCTCTGCTTTTCTCTCTTCAAACTCATGACGCCCCACCCCCTATTTTGTTCTCAAAAACCCTGAGGCATGAAGAGAGAAGAATAATAGCTTCCTGAAGCGATGCATGTGGCAGGCCCAGTGCTAAGTGCTTTACAGTCATTTAATTTTCACAGCAGCCCTAGGAGATAGGTATTGTTCCATCTTAGAGAAAACTGAGGCACAGAAAGGGCTAATAATTACCTTAAGTTTATGCAGTTAATAGATAGCTGAAAGCTGCCCCTGGTTCTGTGCCAGGCTCATGCTCTCCAGGCCACAAGCCACGTGGGCAGGAAGCGGGCAGGTTTTGTATGGAAGCTGAAGAGTTCCATGACTCATTCAGGGTACTTCCACTTGGTGCCTCTTGTTAGGGAAAAACTCCATCCTATTTTCCCATCTTGGAGGGGTTTAGGAAGAACTGTTTTGCAGCCTTCCTTCCACAACTTTGCCTGAGCTCCATACCCCTCTCCACAGGACCTGGCTTTGGGATGAGCAGTGCTGGGCCTGGCTTCCCCCAAGCAGTGCCACCCACCGGGGCCTTTTCCAGCACCTTCCCACCACCAGTGTTCTCCCTGCAGACCTCAATGACCCAGCAGCAGAATGGTAAGGGATTTAGACCTCACCCTTCTTCCTCACCCCCTATTCCCCACCCCCAGGGACTCCATGTGTGTAAGTGTGTGTGTGTGTGTGTGTGTGTGTGTGTGTACCCACAGGAATATTAAGGAGCCAGACATGTGAACTAGTTCTATTTTAGACCATTCAGGAGGAATCAGGGAAGCACCAGACCTGCCTGCATCCTCTGACTGCTCCATACCTTTATTCCCATCTTTAGGAGGGCCCCCTCTCCCTGCCCACCTGGGACCTAGCTGTGCCTGCCCTGCAGGGAGGCAGGCAGAGCTGGTCAGCACTAGCATGAGGGGCAGGACTCACGTCCGCTGAGTTTTTGCTCTTGTTTCCCAGGCTCTTCCTTCAGTGACTTAGGATCAGTCAAGCTGGGACAGAGGCCACTGAGCCAGCCAGCGGTCCTGTCCACCAACCCCTTCATGGTGAGTGCCTAGTGCACCGTGGTGTGGGGCATGATCTCTCATTCTGGGGCTTAGGGATGGAATCCTTCCAGGAAAAGAGGGCAATGTGGGGTGGAACTCAGGCCCCTTCCACATAAAGTTCTGTTTTGTCCAAGCCAAGGATGAGAGGGGTAGTTGATGGGCCTCAGTTCTTATTCCTGTCATCCCCCACACTCCCCAACCCTCCACTTGCCTCTAAGCTCCTTCACATTTCCAGTTTCCTCAGCTTAGTAGTATTGAGGGAGAAAGGAACCCTGAACTGCATTTCTTCTGTGGTCTCCAGCTTTTCTGCTCTAATCTAACAATTTGTGGTGGTTGTTTCTTTACAGACTGGATCCTCAACAAGCCCATTTGCCTCCAAACCTTCAACCACCAACCCATTCTTGTAGCACTGTGTTCTGGGGACCTCTTTCCTGCTCTCTGGGGTCCCTCTACTCCTTGGAACTCTGGTGACCACTTGCCTGTGGCATTTATGTGAGTCTGAGACCAGAATGGGCCTTACTTTGCAGGGTAGAGGTCTTGAAGATGGTGGAGGTGCTACTGCTTTGCCTGGAGCTTACAGATAAAAAGGGCAGCTTCCTCCCTTCTTCCTTCCAACCCCTGACCCAGGCAGGAGGCCTAGGAGGAGAGAAGGCAGGGCCTGGCCTAGAGGAACAATGGTGTTTTTTCCTCAAGTTATTGATTATGATGACAGTAATCCTCCTCCTCTTCTGCCGTCAGCATACACAGTGCTCCCTTCATTCCCAGCCCTCTGGGCAAAGGAAGCTGTGGGCACGGGCTGACCAGCATTCCCCTGGGGGAACTCGTCCCCATGCCCAACTTTCCAACACTGTTCTCCTCGTGGGCAGAAGCACAGGGGGAAGAGTAGGGTGAGGGTGGGGATCAGGTGTGTTGACGTGGGATAGTAATCAAGCCAAGAAGGTCCTGGGGGACCAGAGTGCCCCTGGTGCCCTGGCTTGGGCCAGCATACCCTTTTCTCCACGTTCTTGCATCCCCAACTCCTTCCCTCATCCTGGGCACTCAGGATGACTAGTTTTACCTACATACTGGGTTGGCCAAAAAGTCTGTTTAGTTTTTTTCCATAAAATAAAAGACACATGTTTCATTTTCACCAATAACTTGATTGACTTGGATATTTTGGGTATGTCAGCTATCTCCCATGTGGTATAATGTTGTTTATTCTCAATTCATGTCTTGATTTGATCGCTGTCAACTTCCACTGGTCTACCTGACCGTGGAGCATCGTCCAGTGAGAAATCTTCAGCACAAAACTTTGCATGCAAACCGCTTTTGACATGTTTGATCAGTCACAGCACCTTCTCCATATACTACATAAATATTTTTTTGCATTTCAGTTGTGTTTTTACCTTCTTGAAATACTAAAACATAGTATGCTGAAAATGTTGCATATTTTCTTCCATCTTCAACATTAAAATGGCTACACAAAAATTTGCCAATTTTGATTAGTTTTTCTTTTTTTCTTTATGCATCTCTTTTTAAGAACAAAGATGCTTTTCTTGATTAGTTTTTTTTTTTTACAGAGTTTTTACATTTACTTTTTAAGAATGAGAAGACGAGAAGAAAGGGAGAGAAACATCGATGTGCGAGAGATACATGATCAGTTGCCTCTCATACTCCCCCAACTGGGGACCTGGCCCACAAACCAGGCATGTGCCCTGACAGGGAATCAAACCAGTGACCTTTCTTTCACAGGCCGGCGCTCAGTCCACTGAGCCACACCAGCCAGGGCTAATTATTTTTTTTAGATGCACACTGATATGACAGCTGCCACAATGCTATCTAACAAAATTGTTTCTGAGTGAAGGTAAAGACAACTAGAGCCAGCTTATGGGAAAACCGAACAAACTTTTTGGCCAACCCAACACTTAGGCATGCCCAACTTCTGTCAAGCACTTTAGTTAGTTGTGGTGTCATGTTTGGATACCAGTGTTTTATATTTATACATAGAGAGAATTTTCTAATATAGCCTATTATATATATATATACACATACAGAGAGAAAGATATATATATAGACACACACACACACACACATGCAGCCATTCTCCCTCTCCCAGACAGCTCTTTTACGTGGGGAATGGGATGAATCCTCATCTGTGCCTCGACCCGCAAAGCCAGAGCTCCAGGGAGTGGCAGGGAGGGCAGGCACATGTCCTGACCACCCCAGAGCCTGGGCTTTTCGGGAAAGGCTTTGTGCAATTGGCTATATTTTTTCCTTTGATCCATGTACCTCCCTGGCCTCCAGATCTTTGCACGAAAGCTGTTACAGGCAATGTTGGAAAAGAACTGCATTTGAAAGAAAAAGAAAATGGCTCTTATGGTCTTACTTTGGGACAGCTTGAGTGCCCTCATGTCAATCATTGTGACTGCCTAGGTTGGTGATGATGTGGACTGCGATGCTGCCTGCTGTTGGCCAAGGACGGGACCAAGAACAAGACTCGTTGCCCACAGAACCAGTCCCTGTCTGAACAGGAGTCCCGTGTTAGCAATGAGGGGGAGAGGGCGGGGGAAGGGCTGCCTCTGCTGGAGGCAGGAGGCAGGTGGTGGTAGTGAGAGGGACAATTCCCAATGGGGGCTGAGGGTAGGCAAAAAAGAAGGTGCCCTCTAGGAAATGGGAGTGGACCTGATGGGACTGTTTCTACCTAAGGATGTTGTGTCAACAACCTTGGTGTCTGGCTGTTTGTGTGGTAACAAGACAGATGGCTTGGGTTAAACACCTCGCCTGCCTGAGGAGAGGCACAGGACTCAGCCTTGCTGGGAGAAGAGGTTCCTCCCCTTTCCGTGTTTAGCTATTTCATTCTTGGGATATGAAGAATGTTCTGGGTCTTTCTACCCAATGACTTTAACAGCACAACAGCAAGGAAGGACGGAGATTCTCTCTCTGTCCTTCTCCCTTTAAAGAGCCTGTCTCTTTGGCATTCTCTCTGCTCAGAGCCAGGGAAGGGTGGGGAAGCTGATATCTGCTGCTGTGTAGTAGGGGAAGGAGACTTTTATTTTTTCCCCAGCTCTCCTCACTCCTCCTTTCCTAACCAAAAACACAGGTTTGGAAGTGAGAGTTAAAGGACCAGAAGATGCATTACCTCTTACTTCAAGTTTCAGTCACACACACATGCTGCTTCCCAGGGATCTCCTTGCTGCTTGGGGCCTGGGCCCAGGACCTCTCTGCAGTCACTTGGTCCAACAAGGGCTCCAGCCAGCTCGCTGGCCGGAGCAGGGTGACCAGTTAGAAGTTACACTGGGGCAGCCTCAAACCCCAGGGTAGAAAAATCAAGAGTTCCCCGGGCATAAGCCAAGACTAGGACTGCAGCTGCCTCTCTTGGCAGCTGGGCCTCCTCTCTGCAGGCGAGTAGCAAAGAATGGAAAAACCCCTCGCCTGATAGAAAATGTCAAAATGACATTTTGCGCTGTGTTCCCCCTGCCGTAACCCCCAGGGCGTCCCTGCATGGCGCTGCCTGGTAGCTGCAGATCTGACTGCACACACACTGTGGGGCTGGAGGGGTTCGCCCAGGCTTCTGTTCAGACCTAGTCCCCATGTCATCCCTGTCATGTTCTGAAGAGAGCCATGCTATGGCTTGGATCCAGCCTTCAGCAGGTGACCTCAGACTGCCCCGTGGGTGAGGAAGCAGGTGCCGTCCCCAGGACCTCTCTGACGAGCTCCATTTTGTCTGCATTGAAGCCCTGGAGCTGTGGTGGGGGAGGGCTAAAGGAAAGGGCTAAATGTATGGCTCTGTCCCTGCATCACCCTCCACAGAGGAGTGGGAGCCCAGGATCGGGGAGGGACACACAGGAACAGCCTGGCCTTAGTACCCCAGCCTCCTCCCTCTAGATGCTTCTCCTGGGTAACAAGATATTTCCACAGGGACTTAGCATGTGGAGATCCCACTCCACCATCTTACAGCTGCCCTTCACCAGGCAGGGGGTGGCACAGGTGGACCCTTCTGGCTGAGAGAAGTGTTCTCACCCAGCAGAGCTGAGGTTCTGCCACTTCCTGTCCCTGGGGAGCAACTCAAGTTACCAGGGCAACAAGCTAGAATAAATCTTGTCTGGATAAGGATGAGGGCAGTGTTGCTAGGGCAACAATGATTAGGCCAGTTGTTTGTCTCCAGGCTTTTTTTGGTGCCCAGCAGGCTAAGTCACCTGCATTGATTATCACCCCATTTACCACTGCTTCTTGCCCAGAACCCAGGCACTAGGATCCCTGCTGCTTCCTGCTTTGTCTCTACCCAGCACTTTGGGATTCGATAACACAAGGTGATCTGGAGCTGCTCTCTGTGACAGCAGCTGTGATTTCACAGGACTGGGGTGCTGCAAGGTAGCCTCGTATGACAAGACCCTTCTGTGAGTAGCTTCAAATCAAACCTGGGGAGTAAGGCTCCAGGCCAGGGGCACAGCAGGTATGTGGGCCCTGTGGGTGCCTGCTCTTTAAAGCAGCACCCAGACTGGGAAGGGGAAGGGTCTGCAGATAGTTTTCTGTGTGCCTGCCACTTTACACATTGGCATATGGTACATAGATGAAGGCTACATTGGGGACTATGGCCTTGAACATACTGTTTTGGTGCTACTTACAGATCCACATAACTGCCTCTCCCCGGCCAACACCCACCCATGGTGGAAGCTGCTACTGTCCCCAGTGCACCATCAGAGCTGGCAGCACCTCTCCTGCACCTTGGTGGATCTTTGGCTGACCGGGGGAGTGGGCGCCAGGCACCTGGAGGTGAGCCTGGGCACTGCCTGCTGGTTAGCTGGATGCCCACCCTCAGAAGGCTGGTTGGCTCCCACATCTTATTCTCAGCATCACCCTTGAAAAGGTGTTTGAGGATACTAGCTAGCTTCCACTCACACTGCACCTTTGGCTCCCCCAGTATTCCAGCCCCTTCCTTCCAGCTCTGTGAAGTAGAGAAGCTCGACCCTCCCTGCTCAGGTTCCCCTGGCCCGTGGACTAGTCAGAAAAAGAATCAGGTTCCCTTGCCTCAGCACTCTTGTTACATCCCATTCTTTACCTGATTGTGCTCCTCCCCAAACACCATCTTTAATGGGGGCCACACATTGCCCAGTTCCCCTCCCCCACCTTCAGCTCCCCTCTGTGTATCTTACTTGCCACGACTGATATCATGGGGTCCTCTAAAGCCCTCATCCATGTCACCGGCTGGTTTGTCTTGTAGAGTGTACACTGACCAGTGTCATCTTCCCCCTAAGATAGTTGGTCCATGGAAGATCCTAAGTGAGGTGTAAAAATGTCTGAATTCTAACCCTATCTCAAACCTCTCAGGAAGCAAGGGGCAAAAGGTACCCCCACCAGAGAACCTGTGCTGGGATGAGAGCCTTCGGCTGGTGTATGGTGGCATTTTGGGACCAGTGGTGGTGAAAAGGGGCCGAGGGTAATTGGGCAACATGATGGAAATGCCCCTGGAGGCCTTTTCCTCTATAGGATCTCCTTCCTTGATCTCTTGACCAGGATTCTGCTGGGTATGGGCTGTGCACAGAGGCCAGTCCATAAGTTTACTTATTCTAAGATACCTCCTATCACCCCAAAACCACAGAAAAACAACCTCCAGCTTCTTGGAAGTCAGCACAACCCTGTGTTCAGTGGTCTGGCTCCTAGGATTACTTGGGAAGGAAGAGCACAAAACTAGTCCTGAGTAGGAAGGGTACTGGGCGGCTAGAACCCAAGTGGGGAGTGGCAGGAGTCAGAAGAGGGTGGCCTGAGTCAGTCACCGGTGATCCAGGAGTGCAGATGCCACCAGACTGGATCACTCCAGACACAGTTCCATTCACACTCGCCTCACATGGTCACTTTCCTGGCAGCTCAAAGCAATGGAGAGGTCCCCGTGCTCACTCGCCGCCCCTGCCAAAGCCCAGTCCAAGTGGGTAGGGTGGAGGCCGCCTCTCCTAGACTTCTCAACTCAAACTTCACTTCTATCACCTGGCGGGTCTCCAGCACAGGGCAGGTGAGGATATCGGGGGGTGGGGGTAGCCTGGAGCTGTTGGCAGAGAGAGGGTGGGGAGGGGAGGCACAGGGATCCTGGTGATTGGAGGCTATTGAAGACCAGTGTGTCCAGGTCACCAAGCAGCCATTGGGGCACACACTGTATGCAGAGAGGAACCACTGCAGCCCCCCTGCAGTCTGGAGCAGGAGAGAGACTCTG